AGGGGAAAGGTGGAGAAGGGGAGGGGAATTAGGGCATGTTATGTGTATGTGCCAACTTCCTACAATATGAATGTAATCATTATGTACTGAAAACTTGTAGTAATAACATTTTTAAAAAATTAAAAAAGGGTTTCCCATAGTGGGGAATGACACTGTGTGATGTTATCTCATGATAGTAATTTTCTGTATATATTTTTATATACTTCATTTGATAGTATGCAACATCTTTTACTTTACATTTTTTCTGTGCAAATTCAGTACAAATTAGATTTAAAATTATTTCAAATATTGTAATAAATGTAAGTTTTTTGTATTTTTGATAACTATATTAGGTAATTGTAATACTTTTCTTTCAAGAGAGGTTTTTCTTAGAAAAATATATACTATCCAAGGGTTCAGTAACATATTTTGAGTTGTGTAGCTCACAAAATACATCATTATCCAAATAAATGGGCAGATTGACTGGGATAGGGCACTTGTTTTGTTTCCCTTTCCTACATAAACTCAAGGAGCTGATGACAAGGAACATGAATTTTTAATTTCTTATACTTTAAAATTTACAGTTACAACTGGGTATGGTAGTGCATGCCTGTAATCCCAGCACTCAGGAGGCTGAGGCTGGAGGATTGCCATGAGTTTGAACCCAACCTATAATTCAGGGTTCAAGGACAGTCTGGACTATATAGCAACACTCTGTCTCAAAAAAAAAAAAAAATTACAGTTGCAGGAACATTTAAAAGAGCAAGTCTAAGCATTTACAGATATAATTCTAAATTTGTTAATAACATTTTATCTTTAGAGAACCACAGTGGTGGATGAGACACTCATTTGATTAGCACAAATCTTGAAAATTGACATTAGACTTTATAAAACATATCCAAATTAGTAATAATGTTATTGTTTTCATGAAAATATTGCCCTTCTACTGAGGATAACACCACTGATAGTAATTGCTATCTCTATGGACAATGTAGCTGAAACTCTGTGTACAGTCAATAGTTCCACCCATTATCTGTAGCTAGATAACTTTCCAGCTAAGAAGTATGAAGCCTGTTCTCATCTATTTTAATATTAAACTATGAAAAACTATGCTCAGGCTAAGTCAGTCTAAACTCAGAAGTGGTTATATCCAGTACAAACTAAAATAAAGCTTTTTAGACTAATACTTTTCTTGTTTTAATATTAACATTACATATCAGAATGACGAATATGTGACTATTAAACTGGCTCAAAGTACATTTTAGTTCTTTGTTTACTGTCTTAGAATAACATAAGCATATTATAATATATTAATAATATAAGCATATAACCATCCTAATGATTTTCAGATTTAGGAATGACTTCAAATTAGGAAAGTTTTTTGTTCACCTAGTTTTGGAGGAGCATGATATAATCTAATTGCTAACTTTGCCTGCAATATTTTTTAAAGATCAAATGGGCACAGTGGTAATTTTCATTAATCTCATACAGAGCAGCTAATTAAAATTCCCATTATTATCCACCCATTATCTAGTTGTTTCCTTTGTTCAGTATCAGAGCAGGCTGTTAATAATAAGCCATTCTTGTATTATAGTCCTATTAAGTATAGAGAGGTTTAGTTTAATCTATTGCACTGTTTTGTTCTTAGGTGACTTTTTTAATATCATGTTGTACCACGTTGACTATGTTGAACACACTTTGATATTTTGTAATAGAAATTTCATGATTAAATACTTATTGCTCCATTTTTTTCAACGTTAGGGAAAGGCAGCATGTAGTGCATAAAGGAATGACCTAAGGAACAGAGTATTTGTGCTTTTGTCCTTTTCACAAATTATATGAGCTTGGCAATCACTTGTATTCTTTATTTCTGTAATGAATATGTTAGAAGAACTTGTCTTCAAGGGTGGGCCTAGCCTTAATATGCTATCATATTTGCATAATTTTCAAATAGGAAATTCTATTAAAACCTCACATTTCTTTTATGCTTCCCAAAAGGTATTTGTTGTAGAAAGTTCCATATTTTCTGTCTTATTCTATTAGATTTTCTGTTTTCATTCCTTACAGTAGCAGAATATCCTAAATCATATAATTTAAACTTGTTTCTGAGACTTGGATGGGTGGTGAACTCCAAGGTCATGGGCTGGCCACACTGTCCATAAACAATATCTCAGCTGTGACTATATACCTTAATTAAATTCATCATATACAAGTCGATTGGAAAGAAAGTAACATTTTCTGTGTCTGAGGGTACAAATGACATGCTGTTTTAGGTACATTGAACATACATTGTCTTAATCTTCACACCAAACATGATGGCTAGATGTTTTTTATCACTAGGTCACAGATGAGCAAACAGGGTTATAGCGGTTAGTTAATAACTTGCTGAAGGGTTACTGGAAACTAAGTGGGCTGTGACTCTGAGCTGTACCCAGCAGATCATATAGTATCTCAGTTTCTCTGTCCTATACTCAGCATCTCTGAACATATTATAATTCAAAGTCTCAGAACCTATAATATGCTGAAGCAAAGCTAAACTAAGTTTAGAAGTTGTACCATCTTAAAACTCATCTGTCATTCACACATTTATTTCCCTCCCTGTGTCCCTCCCTTTCTTCCTAGAAATACATATTAAATGTTTACTGTATATTGAACATTTTGTTATAAGCTGTGAACCCAAAAGTGAATAAGACAAGCAGCATCCCTTACTTAAAGAGTTTATGTTCTAGTGGGGAAGACATAATAAACAACTTAACGACTAAACAAGATAAACTTATACAAAGCTAATACTGTAGTTGAGATCTAAAATGTGATGACAAGAGAAGATTTTCGGCTTGAGATTTAAATGATGGGAGGCAGTAATGGAGATTCTGCTAAGAGTCTTCCAGGCAGAGAAAATGGCAAAATAGAAAGTTCCATACACGGGCCTCAGGGCAGGGTCCATCGTGATTGTTTAATCTATTAGTTAGGGAAACAACTACTACTAGTTTCTATTGGTTTATTGAAAGGAACAGTTAATGTTTAATTGTTTGATCAATCTTACATGCCTGTATCTGGTTATCTGAATAACTACTTTGAAGATAACAATATGTAATACAATAACCATTGTTAATTTCCTATCAACTTGTTTTGAAATTCTGTATCGTTTTTGTTGTTCTGTGTTGTTTTGTTTATGTCTTTGTTTTTGCTCTTTTCTCTTTAAAATAAAAAAAAGGAAAATAAGTTTGAGAATTTTATGTAAGTAGTATGTGATTGTGGACTGACAATCTTTTAATTTCTTATAAGTAGTAGTTTTCAGAGTGGTACAGCATTAAACAATTCCATTAATTGTTACTGATGGAACTTGCATTGTTGTAGAAAGTGAGTTGATTGAGCAAAAATAAAAGTATAATTTCCAATTATACTATAAATGTTTACCTGCTGTTACTGTTTGTGGAATAAGACATGAATAGATGATTTATAGGAATGTAAAATGATTTCAAATGCATATTTTATTTACTATGCCATTTATCTGCTGATTCATTTATAAACTTTTATATCTACCATATCTCCTAACAACACAAGAAAAGCCAAGTTAGTGGTCATTTTACAAAATATGGGAACTAAAGTGTGAAACTATACTTTCAGTTTTGTAACTGTTATGGACAAATTCAATAATAGCACTCTTGTTGGGCAGATTCAGGTACTCGTGTCAGAACTAGGTATACATGGAGTTTCTAGTATAGAATAAGAAAGATACAAGTGACTTTTACCATAATATCTTAAGTGCTATGATAGTGATAAAAATCATACTGCTTTAAGCAAATAGATTGCCTTTATATGTTGTAAGGCTTTATCAGACTTTTGACATTTATCAATGGAATTTTTAATTCAGAAATTAAAAATGATTGATATTTCCTATATAGAAAAGGTGCTTTAGTCACTTTCCCATTGCTGGGACAAAGCACCTGATATATACAATTTAAAGAAAGGTGTATTTTGGTTCATGATTTCAGAGGATTCAGTCCATGCATAGTTGGCTAGCTCTAAGGCAGAAATGGAATGGCAAAAGGGCATAGTGGAGGAAAGCTTTCCAACCCATGACAGCCAAGAAGCAGAGAGACAGGGAAGAGCCAGAATGAGTGATATATCCTTCAAAGATATGGCCTTAGTAACCATATTAATGAGTATATTGCTCCCATAATCCAGTCATCTTCCTAAAGGTGTACCTCTGATTACACGAAACTTGTCAGAGACATTTGTGATCTAAACCATAACAGGAGGCATTCTTAATAAAAAATAAAATTCAGGAGAATACATATGTAAAGAAGAAATTATGATTAGGTTTCTTTAGCATGTGAAAATATGAGTTATTAGCATCATGAATGTGTTGGTGGCATATTCCTCCCAGCCTTTTCCCTGAACTACATATATACTTCTTGGGAGGTGATGAAGCCAAGGAGCTATGGTGAGATAGTAAGTTCCACAAATAACTCCTTGTGTATTAGAAATTAAAAACCCATTGCTATCTGATAAATATATTTAACAACTTTTAAAAATTACAGTGTAGAAGTAACAAGAAGGGATAGTTGTGAATTATTGAATGCTTTATACTGACTTGATCAGCATGCTAATTGGAGAATATCTTATTTTACATTTTAATAATCATTTTCACTTGTTTTTGAGATATGGTCATACTCTGATATCTTTTAACAGATTTAGGTCACTCATAATGTTTTACATTACTTTTTTTTTCATTTTCAGGAACTGAATATAAATATGTTAACTAGGAAAATGAGTAAGACAATTTTTTAAAATGTTCATTCTCTAGGTTAAAGATGAGTAGCTAATACTACTCCTAATGCCTGGAGTACAAATTTAAGTGCCCTTGTCGATGACATTTTGTGCAATTTAAGTCCCTATTCTATTTGGTGAGCACTGCCAGTGTAATTTTCTCTTCAGTGTGGGTGAGGAGAGCACAATTTTAAAGTTCTTTTTAAAAAACCTTGCTTGTCTAAACTAGTATCTCTTTGATTTCATAGGGTGGGCTGAAAAACAGCAAACATGAATGCACCCTGTCTTCACAAGAATATGTTCATGAATTACGATCTGGTATTTCAGATGAGAAACTTCTTAACTGCCTAGAATCCCTGAGGGTTTCTTTAACTAGTAATCCTGTCAGGTAAGTGGTTCTTAGCATTTTGGTATGATTCATATAATTTGTGCTATATATAATTTTTTGGGAATAGAGTGAGTTATAACTTCAGGATTTTCTGAATAGAAGTCTGATACTAGCTGACAAAACAGTGATGTTTGATTATCAGATTGTAAACATTTAAAATGTATTTAGTTAACCTGATCTGTAATATTTATAATTTTTCAGAATACTAATATTACGTGAATAGTTAATTCCTGTTTGTTTGCATTAAGCCAGAAGTTACATATCCATATTAACATGGAAATGTATTTGTGTATTCAGATAATTATTACTAGATATTGATTTACAAAATAAATTGAGTATATTGGCTCTATATTTTTATTTTTAACACTTGAGAAGTATATACAATTTCACTTTTTGTAAAAGTTTTAAATATATTATTCATATACTTCTCAAATTTTGAGATAGCAAACATTAAATTATTTCAACCTGTAAAAAAAAATAAGAGATCAATGATGAACTCTAAAATGACACAGTTAAACTCTTAACTGACTATTACAAAGGAATGTTAAGGAGAAGTTTACTTTCTAGTAATAGATTCCAATAACTGTTGTTTCTTGAATAAACATAAAGTAACTTCAAATTAATAGCACCCCAAATAAAATGTTTTCTAGAGAAAAATATTTTTCAGTGCACTAGCAAAATACTTTTAAGATCTACTCAAATGCTACAGCATCAAGATTATTACTATTATTATTGGTAACAGGGTCTTGCTATGTAGCTCAGGCTGGCCTTAAACTTGCTATAAGGCTCAGAATGGCCTCAAACTCGCTGGGATCCTCCTGTCTCAGCCTCCCTAGTGCTGGGATTACAGGCATGACCACCACCCCTGGAAAACATCATATTTAGAATTTACTAGATAAGTGAATATATAAAAAAATCACATAGTGATTGTATTTGTGTTTTTTATAATATGTAGTAGACTTAAGTCTTGTACATTTTCTGACTTGTACATACAACCTTGAAAATAATTTAGAGTTCAGTCATTCAATTTGTATGTATGTATAAATTTTAAAATGCCATATTATTTATATATGATAGTACATTTAGAAAAATATGTGGAAAGTTATAATTTTAAAACATAAAAATTATAAAGTGATTATATGTGACTTAATTTGGAGTATATTGATTGTTCAAAGGTAGCTGTCTTTCTATTTCTTCCCGGATATGTCAAGTTTTAATGATTTGAGCAAGGTATGGGAGCTGAGAACGGTAACCACAGTATACCCCACCACCCACCAACCAAGATAATCTAGAGCACCCTACCATTGGGAGGATTTATGTGTTCCAGAAATTTCTTTGGTATAGTTGAATAATTGAGTAAATAAATCTTGAAGAAGTTACTGGAAGAAGTTGTGGCATTTAGGAATGAAGGGAGACACTAGTATAGATTTTTAGTAGAAAAAGTGTGTTTTTGTAAAGGTGTTAGGGAAGGGTTGAAATTATACGTGGTGCCTTTAAATGGGTGGGACATCACAAAGAATTATGGGATCACCTGACAATTTGGCAGGTTTTGATAGGCTGGAGGCCGCCATCTTTGGTAGCTGATTGATTCCCTGGGTATCAAGAAGCAGGCTGTGTCGTCAAGCCCTCCTCATTCCATTCTGGCGGGAGCTCTGAGGTAGATTGTGACGCGGCCCGCCGAGTCACTCCTCACCTCTTCCTCTTGCTGAGCTGAGCCTTAAGATGGAAAAGCGTGAGTTTGGGAGCTATGGCAACATCTCTGTTTCGGGCGGGGCCAGTGCGAGCAATAACCAAGTGCCTGAGGTAGGCCCAGGGCCTGCTTTCAAGATCGTAAGATCTAGGCCCCGAATCCAGACCGTTTTGCCTTGTTGCACCAGCCAGCTGCTTAACTCCACTCTGGTTGACAACGTGTTCAAGATTAGGGGCGTTGAGATTGCCCAGGTCTCCATCGTGGGGGTAATCCGGCGGGCAGAGCAGGCTCCTAACTACATTCTTTATAAAATCGATGACATGACTTTTAAGCCGATTGAGGCCCGCCAGAAGCTTGGCAGAGAGAAAGCCAAGCAGGATGTGACTCCGCTGCCGGTCGGAGTATATGCCAAAGCGTTCGGGGTCCTCACCAGCTCCGGGGGAGCAACGATTCTTGAGGTTCTGAGAATTCGCGTCCTTGAGGACATGAACGAGTTCACGGCGCACATTCTGGAGGTGGTCAACGCACACATGATGCTGGGTAAGGCGCAGCGAGCGTCGGCTGAGGAAGATGTGCCTGTGGCCCCGCCACCGGTGGGGGACGCTGCCGCGGTTCGTGGCCAGTGCGAATTTAACTCGATCGTGAAGGAAGTGCTGCGTGTGATCCAGGAGTGTCCCCTGCTGGAAGGGAAGAGCGTGCCCGAGCTGCAGACTGAGCTGTGCGCAGTGAGTGCCGAGGCTATCAAGCAAGCGGTCGAGCACCTGACCACCGAAGGCCACATTTATCCTACTGTGGATCGGGAGCATTTTAAATTTGCTGGTTGAAGCAGGGAAAACAACTTTTCATTTTCTGAAGAGGCTTGCCTCCAGCTGTGACTAATTTTGACCTGTTGACTTTTAGGAAGTAGGATTTTTCAACAAAATCTCAACTGGCGTCTTCTGACAACTTTTCGAAGTGCTTTGAACTTTCCTGGTTTTCTAACTGTATTTGAGGCTCAGAGGGAGACCTGGATGGATAAATTGACTGGAGTTTGTGGAATTTATCAGCAAGATAATGAAAATACTCTACCAAAGTTGAATTTGGAAGAGAAAAGCTACAGAAAAAATAGAATTCATTGTTGTGGGGGAGTTTCCTTTACTAAGTGTATGTCAGGGAGCCAGCCAAAAGAGACAAAAAAGGGTTTATATTTTACTTGTTTTTATACTAGTCTTATTTTTCATGTTTAGATTTAGCTTATTATAGGCATATTAATATTTATTCCTAAATACAGTAATTCTTTAATTCAAATGTGCTAAAAATAGTAGCTCATGATTTCAAATGCAGTTGAAGCTTGAGTGATTTGCTGTTGTTACCGTGGATTTATGTTATCTTCAAATAAGATTACACTGTATTTAAATAAATCATTTTGTAGAGTTATCTTTAAATTCATTTTTCTTAACATATGTTCACATTTAATGGTTTTCAAGTGTGATGTGATATTTAGATTAAATGACTATTATAATTACATAGTACATGAATGTCATACTTTCTCTAAGTTTGATGTGCTAGTGTATTATCTATATTATTAAATGCTCAGTTTTATGTAAAATGATAGTTTACTTAGAGGTTAGACAAACAAAAGATCATTACACGAATATAAAACTTGGTAAGTTTAACAGATACTTATTCAAACGTTTTATTACAGTTGTTTTGAAAATTGTAACTTTCCTGTATAATTTTTTTCCAAGTACATTTGAATGTCTTATAACCTTGAGGAATAGTAGTTTTTTTAATCCAGAATAACTTGGTTTTTTACTTTACATAATACAAATAGCATGTTACATCTTAGTTTTAATACATTTTCATTTAAATTAATTATGTGAGACCTAAATCAATAACCATTAAAGTAAGCTCTCAGTTACTCATATAGTATTTCTCATAGTTCTAGTTTTGTTTATGTTAGAGGGAATAAAAAATATTTTGGATACATGTATATATATATTTTTTTCATTTAGACAAGTGTGGGTGTGAACGTGTGCCTGTGTGTGTGTGTGTGTGCGTGTGTGTGTTTGTGTGTTCAGCCTAGTAGAAGTGAAGAACATCACATGTCTTAGTTGGGCCACACAAAGAAGGCACAAAAAAACAGATAATCTCTTATGTATATACCATCACCAGTAGTCTGTATTGCCAAGAAAACTATTCCAAAATGACCTCTTGTTGCCAATCTTTTTGAAAACTGACTACCAGTGCTGGAGATTGAACCTATAGCCTTCACACTGAGCTACTTCTCTAGCCCCTTCTGTAAAATTTCTTTGAGACAGAGCCTCACTAATTTGCTAAGTTGCCAAGCCTAGCTCAAACTTATTATCTTTCTGCTTCTGTCTTCCAGCCTACTGGGATTACAAGCACATGCTATCGTACCCAACTGTTATTATTTCATAGATGAGGAACTTAAGTTCAGAGAGGTTAAGTAAATTGCTCCATTATAAGGTTATGTGCCTAGTAATTGCCAGCACTCCAGCAGAAACCATATTCCCTTGGAGCCTGGGCTCTTAAGAGCTACTTTGTATTGCCTTACAATGAAGAAAGTCTATTAAAATATTCTCTTTTCCCTGTTGTCATAGACTACACATTTTGCCTTTATTTCTTTCATTAAAACTTGTTTGACTTGAATAAAGAAAACTATGAAGGGGGCTGGGGATTTAGCTCAGCGGCAAAGCGCCTGCCTGGCAAGCGCAAGGTCGTGAGTTCGGTTCCTGGTACCGGAGAAAAACCAAAAAAAAAAAAAAAAAAGAAAACTATGAAGGCTTAAAAAAGTGAAAGATATAAAAGCTAATTTTGTACCCATCTACTGGCTTAACAAGCAAAATTTTATTTTATTTTTTTTTTTGCAGTTATAGGGAACTTAGTCATATAACAGATTAATTTTTATTTCTTAGGGGCTCTGTAACCATCACCACAAACTGGGTAGTTTGCCCAAGAACAACTTGATCTCTCACAGTTTAGGTAGCCAAAAATCTGAATCAACATGTCATCAGGGAACTTCTTCCAAATATCCAGGACAGGGGTCTTTCTTCCCTTCTTGCAGCCATCTCAGTCTCGCAGTCTTTTATAAGGACAGCTTAATTGGATTTGGAACCTACCCACATCCAGTATAAATTTTATCTTGATTCTTATCTCAATTATATCTACAAAGACCCTGTTCCAAATGAGATTGTATTCTGAGTGGACACTATTCAACCCACTGCAGTTATGCAAAGGAACAATGCCCTGAAAACCAGTGAAATAAAGCTACATTCTGTCCAGGTAACAGAATTACTAAATTTGAATAGCCAAAGATGTACAGTTACTTACATTTATCTTCATGAATAAAATGAAGTTTTATTAAAACAAAATTTTCTGTAGAACTAAATTCTGAGAGATAGCTTGTTATAGTTATGGTGCAATGCCAGTTTTCAGATCTGACTTCTAATCATTGATAGCACTGTATGATGATGTTATAAATGCAATCGTATTCAAATGCAATAAAAATCGTAATTATAGACTCTTCTTTCTTATATTCTCTTTTACTTAGTTCAAACCCATTATTTTTTTAACTGGAGCCAGAATATTAGTGTTTAGAAATTATTTTGAAGCATGTGAAAAATGTTCCTCCCTAAGGCTAGAGGGTTTTCTAGCATGCCATTATTTTCTTGTATTTATAAGTATATTTAGTCAATCTGACATCATTTATAATTTTCTTCAAATATTGAAGAAAGCAGTTTCTAAAACACCATTGCATAACTATTTTCACAATGTATGTTCATTAGTACCAAAGCATTTGCTCCCTCAGGGCTGATTCCCTTCTTTACTGCAATTTTAGCGGATTTCTTATTCTTTAGCCACTAGTAAAAGAAAACTTATGTAAGTGTGTACACACATACATTTATTGATAGCATTTACTAAATATTCTCAAAGCACAATCATTTCAGAATATTAAATAGTCATCAACTTCATACAGCATTTAATCATTCTGATGATAAAGGCTCTGAGGAAGTAATTTCATTGTATTATTTTCTGCTAAAAGCCAATATTTAAAAATACCTGTATAAACCATCATTTAGTGGCCATATCCCAAATCACTGTCTTACTATGCATTCCCTCAACGCTTATTTTCTAGTGTATATATTTACCTCCACCTGCCTGTGTTCCATAATAGCCTCATGCATGTATGTCTGCTTTTTCATTTAGATTTTGTCTTCTCTAGGGAAGGGACCCTCTTGCCCTCTTATTTGTTTCGTTGTAGCTGTTACTGTGTAATTTATGTACAATAATATATGATTCGACGTGGATATTGACCCACCATCACAACAACCTATGCTTCTCCAGCAGTGAGAATGAATTTGAATTAGTGTGGCACTAGTTTGTGATCATGCATTTTATCTGTAATCAGGGAAAAGAATGTAGGTAACTTCTTCCACATAGGGATGAAATTAATTCATTTGATTTGAAGTGTATTCATAAACTACACACAGCATAGCATACTTCACATGATAATATTTTTATACATGGTGAATTAATGAAGTTTAATGTTTACACTTCAATTTAACACCCTAAAAATGCATGTGTTTTTTCTATAAAATAAATCCCAATCTGCTATCACAAATTGCATTTTATACCATGATCTGTGTGTGATTTAGAATAAGAAAAACATTACAGATTTTTATTAATGTGACATTACTAAAGTTCATGAAAGGAATCAGTGTCTACTGAAAATAACAAATGAGTTTCAATGATTTTATTACCAGCCAACCCATTACAGGATGTATAGGTGTTTGGCCGTGCATTTTACGTTCATCTGAAGAAATGTGTAGCAATAAATCATCGTCACTAAGGCTTCTCAACCTATGACAAAAGCAGCAAATACTAGTTTAAAGAATAGTATCAAAGAGTTGTGATTGCACAGAAATTTTTTTCACAGTTGTTGCTGAAATTGTCTTACAGCTTGAGAGGTAGTTTACTCCACTAGGAAATTTTTTCTCGTTTTCTTAGGATCTCATTATCTGCCAGACTCATAGTATAGTGTCTGTGTTCACTTCCCATGATGATAGCCTCCTCAGCGAATGTTACCAAGCAGGTGAAAACAGAAAATATATTTTAGGGTTTATAAATGTGCAGTTATTTGTGTTGCATCTAGGATATTTGTTGTTACTTGATGTTTTACTTTCCTTTAAACACATTTTCTAGCATGTTAACAAATATGCACTTTAACGTCATAATCATTGTAATGAAAATACTGCAATGTTGACAGCAATACAAATTAAGAACAGATGTACTTTCTCAAATATGCCTGTTAGTAAGTAAGTAAACAGCCTGTATTAAACTTATTAAAAGGTTTGCCAAACAAACAATACTACTTAAAGAGTTAACATAAAGCTAGGTATAGATCGATATTCTTAGAACATTTTGCAAAAGCCGACATATGAAACATGAAATAATGAAGCCACATTTTTATACTGTAGAAATGCAAATGGAACTTAAATTATAAGGCAACATTATGAGCTGTATTGCTAAAGCAGGATTTTAAAATTGATATTTTGAATTTGTTTGCTATAATTTCTAAATGCATGTATCATTTTAGAATACCCCTAATACATTTATATAAAGAATAGAAAGTAGAGAACACATTATAGTTGTCAATTTATTTATTTATTTTTTATTTTATTTTATTTTATTTTTTTGGTTTTTCTCCGGTACCGGGAACCGAACTCACGACCTTGCACTTGCCAGGCAGGCGCTTTTGCCGCTGAGCTAAATCCCCAGCCCCTTATAGTTGTCAATTTATATACCTTATTTCAATATCTTGATCACCAATTTCAGTTATTATTAATCTTATATCCAACCTTATTTGAATAAACTTTTACCATAAATAATAATTATGAATAAATATTAGCAATGAATTTTTAATCATATACAACTAGCTTTAAAACACAATTTTGACTTAAGCATATCCAACATTGTACTTCATAAGAGAAGCAAACAAGATCTTTTGTATCCTTTGTTATTATTACAATGAATTAGGCACAGCAATTATTGATCCCCTATTTTCATGACAGAAACATTACAGACATTAAAATAAATAGTAGCTCATGTGTGGGCATTTATTTTGTTATGTGGCCTATGTATCTCTACCAAAAATAATTTTTAAAAAAGTTTTTGAAAATAGGGCAGATTGAATACAGTACAAGTTGGTACCTCTTTTTAGGGACTTTATATTGCGTATAGTTTTATGCTTATTTAGTCTATTGCGGTAGTGAGGCCAGAATTCAAATTGGATTGGTTTTGAGTACGTACAGGTGGCTCATGGAGGCCTGGCCTTGGGGTCTGTGTCTGGCTCCTTGCCCTTCCTGTCTGTTTTTTCTCCCACTGTGGTGCTACCAGGCCAATGTGAACTAAGAAGCTTTACTCCCATAGATCCTGCCACCCTGATGTTTTTGCCTTGGAATCAGCTGATTACGGAGTGAAAGGATGAGCAAATTAAACCTTTCTTCCTTTAAATTGTGGGATTGGGATAATGTACCTCAGCAACAGCAGGAACAGATTAATACATCTATATTTCAAATGTATGCTTAGTATTATTTTTCTGTTATTGTTTCAAATGTTTTTTGACATTATAATGGAGAACAATAAATAGGTTTGACTTTATCTGTCATAAATAAACCTTAACCACATTCAAATTATTGATTGTGTGATTACTGACTTTGAAAACTGACATTGTCAAAATTTGTTCTGAAAAATTTTATTAACAGCTGTATTATTTATGTTCAAAATATACAAAAGTTAAGAGAAATAAACTCAATAAATCTATCATAGTGACTACAGTAAATAGCTGTAGTTTTTGTTCTTTACAATTACTAAGAAAGGAGATGTTCAGTTTTCTGACCACAAAATATGATAAAAATGTGAGGTAATCTAGGTTA